ATATGTTCCAAAGTTTTTGAACTGTTTGAAAATTTTGAAGTGATATTTAAAAAATTTCTTTTTCAAAATAGTATTTTCTTCGGCAAGTAAATCTCGATTTTCTTTGATTTGATGAAATTCCTTTTGTAAGAAATTGATTTTATCCTTTTGAGAAAGATCTTGTTGAGTCAGCCTTGAATTTTCCTTCTTCAATTTGGAGATTCTCTTAAGAGCAGATTTAAATTTAGAACACAACTCATCAATGTAATTTGATACTTCAATTGGAATTTCCGGATACTTTATCTCAATATCCACTTCTATTTCTGAATCCGAGTCAGAATCCGAGTCTGAGTCTGACTGTGCGATTAAGCAAACATTGGCATATTCCTCATTGCCTTCACACTCAGTATCGCTCCATGTTTATGCTTTTAGAGCCTTCTTGGATTTCTCATACTTGCCTTTCTTTTTCTTTAGAATCGGGCAATTTGGTTTGATATGACCATGCTTCCCGCATTCAAAGCAAATTACATCTTTGCTTGATCCTCCTTTGTCGATTTTTCTTCTTCTTCTCAGCTTGTTTTAATGATTTTCTCCCTTTGAACTTTTTTTTTTGCCTTTTTTTGGCCAATTTTCTTAACTTCTTTACCATTCGAGCAAGTTCCTTATCATTCTCTTCATCGTCTTCAGAATTTGTCTCATCAGAATCAATGTTAGATTTTAAAGCAATTAACTTCTTACCTTCAGGATCTTCTTCATGTATACGTTCTACTTCATATGACTGAAGAGTCCCAATGAGTTTATCAGCAGATAGTGACTTGATTCTTTGAGTTTCTCGAAGTGAAGTTTTGATGTTGTTCCATTCCTTTGAAAGTCCTCTCAGCAGCTTGTTTACTTTCATAGGTACAGAAACTGGATTCCCTTGGTATGCAAGGCCATTCACAATTTTTGTGAATCTGTCATACATTTCAGCAATAGATTCTCCTAGCTTCATCTTGAAGGATTCATATTGTCCGGGCAATATGTTTATTTGAGTTTCCTTTGTTCGATCAGTTCCTTCATAGGTGGTATAAAGCCTATTCCAGACTTCCTTTGCTATTTCACAAGAAGCAATTTTCTTATATTCAACGGGTGCTAAAGCACAATAAAATGAATAAATTGCTTTTGCATATAAAGCTTCTCTTTTGGTTATCTCATATTGAGATAATGAAGTAGCTATTGGAGTATCGCCATCTTGTTGTTCACTTGAGGAAGTTGCAGGAGGAGGTGGTTTGATTCCCCTGAGAATGACATCCCATTGCAAAGGATCAATGGATATTATGAATGCCTTCATTTTGTTTTTCCAGATGTTGTATTCTTTACCATTAAAGTACGGAGGTCTGGTGTTGCTTTGTCTTTTCACAAGACCTGGAGCACTCATGCTAGTCATAAAGATCGTTAGCTTAGAAATGGCTAGCAATAAATGAGCAACCTGCTCTGATACCAATTGGGGTGGCTAGCAATGATCACCTAGAGGGGGTGAATAGGTAATTTAAAATAATTCTTGACCAATTTAAAGCGAAAGTAAAAGATTAAGAACAAAGTCTGAACAACGTTCATATTTTAAATAATCTTTTATAGCAATTGTACACGTGTGCAATGTAATAAATAAAAAGAGTTTTAAGGGATGAGAAAATCTACATACAAGAAGTATAGTGGTTCGATTTAGATTAAGCATATGTTTACTTTCCCATACTGACAACCTACTAGCTGAATTTCACTAATCAAATCAATGAGAAATTACAGTGAGTTGTGCCGCTTAAACCCAAGCACTTCCCCTCAAAGCTAGTGCTGCTCATACCAAACCGATAGATCACACTATCTCACACCTAAGCACACACTTATAACACTGTTTATACCTCTCAAATGATTACACTTATAACTCACAGAAGACAAGTATAAATGTTCGAAGTACGCTCGGACTTTGGAATTCTAGATTATGGACTTCGTCTCTCTCTTCTGCTCCTCGGCATGTTGGTCTCCTATTATACTCCTCTATTTCCAAACTAGCCGTTGGACAGTCTCCAGAGAATCGTCTTCCAATCTACCCGTTGGACAAAACTATATCAAGAAGATCGCACAGCCGTTGAGGGACAAAATCTGAATCTTCACTGAATCTGATCGCCCATATAACCAAAGTCTTAGTTTCTACAAGTAGAGCTCCTCCGTTTAGAAAATAGCTTGTCTCGAGATTAATTGCCAATCAATAAAGATGTTTTGCATATTAAACTGTTGCAAAACAATCTTCAAGATTGAGTCAATCAATTTATTTTAAGTTTAAAATCCAAGCCAGATTACTAGCCGTTATGTACGTTCTAAACTTGTGTCACGTTCTGGACTTACATTCTAAACTTGTGTCTGAAGTTCATCATCTCTGGTGTAAAGTCTAAACCTCTTTGAGTATAAAGTCTGAACCTCTTCATCTGCATTATAAAGTCTGAACTTCTTTATCTTGAAGTAGAAAGTTTGAATCTCTTCATATTGAAGTAATTTCACAATCTGAACAATATTGCCATATGCTTCTCTTCCAAGAATAACTTCTTGAATCAAAATACTTCAAAGCATTTATCAGACTTATAAAATACTCATAGACAGTTTTGTCAACTTCAAAATCTATTATGAGGTTTTCCCAACACAATGCATAATCCAAAATTCAACTTTTCAGCATCGAACAGTCTCACTCATCATAGCAAAGCATAACCCAAAATTCCAAAATACTTGTGGCGTTCATCCCAAAATTACACAAACAACAAAGACCCAAATGCATTCAATTCAAGAACTTGAAGGACACGAAAACCGAGCCTCAAATAGCTGGCCCGACTCGGGGTCTTCCTCAACGGAGTCCGCGAATGTCGCGACCGACTGGGGGCTGGAACCCGCATTGGAACCATTGCGTACGTCACGACCGACCAAGGAGCAGCTTCACCAACACGCCTGGAGCGACCGAGGTAAGATGCGTAGAAGGATAATCGGGCCGACGAGGCTCTAGATAGGGAGGATGGCCTTGGGAGCAGGGAGAAATCGAGAGGCTTCAAGCTGGGAGAGCTCATTTCTTTGGTTCCACCATGAAAATGAAGAAGAAGAAGCTCTTTCTTGCCGGAGGAAACGATGGTGCTTGCGGAGTTTTATCCCCGACTTTCTTTTTTGCGGGTTTTAGATTGGTTTTAGAGGACGTGATATGGTTAAACGACGTCGTTTCATTTAAAAAGGGAATTTTCACTTACTTTGAACTTGACTCAAAACCTTACGATGGAATTTAGGGATAAGTGCATTAGAACTCGACTCAACACCTTCCAATAGAGTTTTATCCCCGGCTCTTTGAGTTCAATTGTGATGGTCTGGGTTGAGAGATCGCAGGAGGCGTGGCCATTCTCAACCAAGAAGAGGAATAAGAGGACAAGGAGCAACTTCAACATTACCAATTCTTGAGGTTAGGGTTTCGATTGAAGCTATTAGCCCTAATTTGTGAATTTGGACCAAAAACAAATAGCAAATGACGTCATTTTTTCACTCTTTTTTCGATTAGATTTCTCCAGCGAGCCATGTAATCCGATTTATAATAAATTAATGCAACGTGATATTTTCCATATTGGAAAATCACCGATGTCACTCAAGTGAACAATTTTTTAAAGTTATGGCACTTAAATAATAATAATAATAAAAGTTATAGCCCTCAAGTGAGTATCATACGAAAGTTATGACACTTATGATAATCTTATCTCGATTGTGATAGAATTGCTCCAACGAGAAGTTGAGATTGATTACATCTCAAAATGTTAAGTCCATCTATTTCTAATCAAAATGTATGTGTAACATCGATTATATACGAAATCATACACGAAAATGTTAGGTGTATCTATATTACAAAAATAACACGAGTTATTAAGTAAGTTCTTTCACCTGGTAAAAAAAAATTTGAGATCTTATCATGAATCAATGTTATATAACATCTCTTCATTTATGCACATGTAACATGGACAAAAGCTTCAGATTTTCATTGCGAAATGATTGACATATGTATCATTCTCGAACAAGTTTAAGCTTTTAGAGAAAGAGATAATGACATAAATAGACCATGAACTTTGGCTCAATGTCAATGTGGTCCATGAACTTTTAATTTGTTTAATATAATCCTTGGACTTTTGGTACATGTTCAATGTAATCCTTAAATTATATGAAAATGTTCAATGTTGCCCTTCCATTAATTTAAATTCAAGGTTAACATTAAACAAATTAACTCCATGTACAATCGGATTACATGATCTCTTGTTCGAGAAATTGTCCCCTATGGTTTCACATATAATTCACTTTGAGTGATTGTTTAGATCCATCAAATGCTGGATATCAATTGGAACCAGCATTAACATCTGTGGTAAACAATAGATGCCCACGATTTTTAACAGTATTGAGGTATAGTATAAGTGTATCGCCCGTGAATCCGAACCAAAGGCAGCAAGCAACAAAAGCTGGAGACTATGGCATGCATAAACTTGAACAGAAGGGATCTGGCAAGAGGAAGAAATGGTAGCAAAGTTAATTGGGATAATTGTCCAAAAATGTCATAAACCTATTGTACGGCAGCCAATTTAGTCATAAACCTTTCAATTATACCAATTTAATCTTAAGCCTTTTGATGGTTAGTCAATTTAATCATAAACATTTTTTTGTGTCAATTTAATCATAAACCTTTTGAAAATTTATCAATTTAGTCATAAACTTATTATTTGAATACTTGGGCGAAAGGACTACATTGACAAATCGTCAAAAGGTTTAAGACTAAATTAGCAATTCATCAAAAGGTTTATGACCAAATTAGCAAATCGTTAAAATATTTAGAACTAAATTGGCACAACTAAAATAAGACTGAATTGACATTTGTACAATAGGTTTAGGACTTTTTGAATAATTTTTTTTAAGTTAATCACATGATTAATGATAATGCTTATTTCCATTACCATACCTAACTTAATCGCATGATAAGATAATTGGCGAAAATGAATGGAATAAATTTATTGGTAAGCGTATCGAAGAAGAGAAGTCCGATAGCATCTGTACAAAGCGTCCGCCGGCTAAAAGCTAGCTAGAACGGCGCAGGAACGGCATCCCTCGGAGTTGGTAGTCACAATTCATCACGATGGTCGTCATTAGGCTCTCCCTCTAGATCGAGTCTGTTGCCACAACAAATTACTCGTTCCAAGCCCTGTATTATGCAGAATGTCTGGCATTATCACATCAGGTGAAAGAATGAAGAGAACTCTTCACCACAACACACTTAAACACGCACGAAGACAACGTATACGCTTTTGGAAAGACAGAGATACAGACCTGCAAATCACTTTGATTATAATAAGTTTTAAACTTCTTTAACCCCATAATATTGATAATATTCAACAATTGCAACACGATTGCGACAGATTATTCGTGGAGGAAATAGAACCCTTAGAATACATATATGTCATGACCATCGGATCCGATGTATTATCGCATGCACTCATGTGACCAACTTGATTCAAGAATCCATGTGCACGCGATAGATGCACATGCGATCGCATGTAAAGGGTAAAGGGTGTAAAGCGCACAATCAAGATTATATTGAGAAAAGTTTCGGTGCTTTCAAAAAATGGCATTTTATCCATCCGAATCAATCATCACATATCAAGTGTTATAGGTTTTCCCATCATTTATAACGTAAAATGTTGCTTCAAGTGGCGATAGACTCGAGCGAACAAAGGGCGTCGTCATGCTAAAAAAGAATGAAAACCTCTCGTTACTTCTGAGATATGGATCAACTGATGGCGAGAACTGAGAATTTGGGACAAGAAAGCTATCATGGACTCCTCTAGTTTCATTATCATCTGCTGCTTCGATTTGCATACCACTGTTAATCGCATATGCAGATCACGCATGAACATCAAGGAGAAAGTATAGATAAACACAATACCTCAGTGAAGATCCTCAAGGCCTCTTCCATGGTGCACTTCTTCACCACGTACAGAGCCGCCTCCTGTTTCCCATGCGCACGCCATTGACGTTGATGTTGATCACCACCATCCAAACTCACGTTGATTAGTTCCCCCATCGAAAAATCACTTGCTTACACTGATGAAGAACATGAAGAGAGAGGTTTCTGACTGTATATACGCGATCCTTACCCTGGCCAGCTTCATCTGATGGAAGCTAAGCGTCTTCGGCTCGCTGTCAATGGACGCTCTGCCCTCCATGTGCGCCATTGACGCTCCTTCTTCTTCTTCCATCATTTTGCAGAGAGAAAGAGACACAATGTATCGTGTCTTGATTCCTATGAAGGTGGGTATCGAAGAGTGGGAATGAAAAACGTCACCTTCTTCCTCGTCCTTATATTTGCAAAAGTCGCCGGCGACTGTGAGCCGATGCGCTACGGAAACCGACGCGTGGGCCGCGCGTGGGGACGGTGTCGGCCAACCAGATGGACGGCCACGATCGGGTGGCCACGGATCGTAGGGAGGAGCCGGCGTTGGGGGCACGTAACGTGGAGGTTCGGCAATGGCGTGGCGGGTCTCGTTTTGAAAAGCGCTACGTGCGTGTTTTGCTTGGTGAGCACTTGGCCAATGGAGATCCAACACCAAAACGCACCAGCAAATCTCTCTCCAGCATGAATCGGAGAGAAAGATTGAGTGATGATAACGTGTTCCTCCTTTTGACGCTGCATCCAATGTTTCGGATAGATAAAATATTTGTCGAGACCAGACCCAAATTCCAAACGAAACAAACCGTCCTCGAGGGGCGATTTGTCGTCCCCATGAGGCGTAAATGAGTAGAGAGGCTTGGAGTTATCGACAAGTAGCCCAGACCTATTTTCTATTATCCAACTGTTAATCGATTGTATAGATCGTATCCTTTTCTTTGTGACAAGAGAGCTCGCTTTGAGAAGTAGATTTCAAGCTTATCGAACACCCTAATAACCTCAAAACCCGAGCCAAAACTATTGGCGCTTCACGGCGCGGAAAACATGAAATTATTTGCACTTCATGGTATGAAAAAGCAAACTATGTGTGTTGTGTGCCTAATCCAAATGATTAACGATTAATGTAGTTTTTATTGACCCTAACCCTAAATTAAACGTTACAAAATCATCCTAGAATTGGATGATTAATCTATCTCGTTATTTTGGAAGGTTTGTCTGATTACACTGTCTAGGTCTTAAATTTCCAATGGATTCGGAAAAATTGCGAAAGTTCAAAGTCCAAGCAGGATCCAACGTCCGACCGGCCATTATAAATCGGTCGAGCAATTCCCTATCCCTACTCTTTTCATTTATACACATATAGCGTGTCCATCTATATACGTCCTTATAGCCTTAATTATGACTTGACGTTTGAAATCATAAAAGAATTTTAATTTTACGGTAAAATTAGCAAAGATAGTGCAAAGGAGATATAATTGACTCTAGTCTGATATTAGTAAATCGTGATGCTGCATATGAACTGGAGCCAATCTGAGTTTTCTTTTTATTTCCCTTAATATTGCAAAGCTTAATTATATTATCCCGTTGTCATTATTGGATTAGGATGCAGCAGAAATGGGTTATTAAGAAAGTAAAATATCGTCGGCAAACCTCCACATCTTTCTAAAACTCTTCCCTCTTTTGAAGCCTTCACATGGGCTCCTGCTTAGTCTTTGGTTTTCCTTTTATTTGTTTTGATTGTCTTTTTTTTGTTTTCTCTATTGATCTGTTAAGGGAGTTTATGTGTGTGAATAAATTTCTGCAATTAATTTTGGGTGAACGTGGAAACCTGTTCAACCATTCATCCGGTCGACAGCCACCGAGGAGGATGTTCATGACTTGACTCCAGAATCTTTTCGAGATTAAGCCGCTCTCCTCTCTCGATTTAGATTTATATCTAGATCCGGAGGTTTTACTCTCTGGAACTAGATCTAGATATAGATCTGAAAGTTCATTACAAGTATTTGATTTGTGTTCTTTCAACATATTGATGTTGGTGTGTGCATGGCAATAGTGATGAAAACGTTGAACCTAGGCATGCACCACAAGCCGTTGCAAATGAAGTGAGAGATCTCGACATGTGTGCTTATCACTGAATCTAGTGATCAACTACTGAACATTTACAACGTCATATCTGTTTTTAAGGGATTAGAGTGTGCTTCTAGCTACAAATTGTGCTTTGTTAATTACATTATGGCATGTGCTTGTTCCATAGTTATTTAGGACTTGTTAAGCTTGAAAGTATTCTATGTACCTCTTGAGTATTATTCCAAGAAATGGATGGTCCTTTCTTTCGACTAACAAAAAAAAAGTAAAATATTGATCTTAAGTGATTATCTGATTTACATCCAATTAGTTTTTCATCCCTACAATTATTTGATGCCATTGCACATGACATTCTAGTGATATTTTCTCGATTTGGATGTCCATTAAGAGATATGTTTCGGTTTATATGTCCTTAGATATGTTCATCTAAATAGCGAAATTATGTTGTTTCGTGTAAAAAATTACGGATTCTTTTTTTTTTTTTTTGTAACGATGAATTTCAATGAGTGTTGGTAAGTATAAAAAAATTGTTGGCAAGAAAAATTACCATGATACCTTTTCCAAATAACTTGTTTGTAACCTACCAACATAGTTATATATTACAAACTTTATTACATCTTGCAAATTACAAATTTTTAGTAACTTACCAACTTTTATTTGCAGAATTACTAATGCTTTGGATTAACCAACTTTATGAAATTACCAACCTAAATTAGAGTGACTCAGTATCCTCTGTCAATATTAAATGACCGACTAGTTTTGTGTAACTAAATCTCATTTAAATTACTTGCCTACATTTAGCTATATATATTTTTTAACTTACTGACTTTTCAGTTAAATTGTGTTGCGACCAAAAAAAAAATTTGAATTGTCAACTTTATCTACCTCGGTACTAACTTTTTCTTAGAGATTACCAACCTAAATCAACGTAACTCACCAATTTTTTCTCTCATTAAATTACCACCTAGTACTTGTAGTCGATAAATTTAGAAAACAAATAAACGTTTATTAATAAGTCAATTGAGAGTTGCTAAACCGAAAAATAATTTATAATTTCATCGAAAATAAAGTTGTAAGTCACTCAAATAAAAATCGATGAATTCATACCAGAGTTGATTAATTGTAAGGCATTCTTAAAAAGAAGCGAAGAAAAGTTGCTAATTTGGAAACTGTCGTATCGAACATCGCAAAATCTCACAGTCGCACGAGATTTTCTCGAATTTCCTTCTTTAAAAAAAGAAGAAATTTGAGGCTGGAACAAAGGGAGTGCCACACAAATTCCTTTCTTCTTTATTCTTTAAACACTCTGGCAATAGGGCCACATCTTCACGAGAGGCGGCACCAATAATTCTCCCATAGGGCACACGCCGCCTCCCCCCACATTCATGAATCTCTTCAATCATGGACCTACCTATATCATTTTTTTTTTTGGTAAGTAAAGACCTACCTATATCATTCTTTTACGCAAACTCGAAAAATGAATTATCCCGCTCCAAATCGAAGTACATCACGATGCCACTCGAGTGAATTTTCGTTTACTATATAGGATAATTGTCCAAAAAGTCATAAACCTTTTGTACGATAGCCAATTCAGTCTTAAACTTTTTGATTGTGTCAATTCAGTCTTAAACCTTTCGACGATTTGCCAATTTAATCCTAAACTTTTTGATAATTTGTCAATTAGTCCTAAATCTTTTGATGATTTGTCATTTTAGTCCAAAACATATTATTTGGATAATTGGTCCGAATGAGTACATTGGCAAATCGTCAAAATTTTAGCACTAAATTGGCACAATCGAAAGATTTAGAACTAAATCGGTAAATTGTCAAAATGTTTAAGACTAAATTAGCACAATTGAAAGATTTATGACTGAATTGGCAACCGTACAATAGGTTTATGATTTTTTGGACAGTTTTCCTCGTAATATACTCACGCGTTACGCTCGAATTTTAAAGATCATCGAAGGCACGATTTGGGCCATTAGCTTAGGCGGAGAATGACAACCATTTTGTTTCATAAATCAATTTCTAGCTAGAAATTTTGTTTTATTTCTGTTCCTGGATGAGTTTTTAAGCAAAAAAACACGTTTGATAACGATATAAAATTTCTGTTCCCGAAGCAAAAATTTGTTTGATAACGACACAAAATTTCTCCCTCTCAGGTGACCGGTGAGCGAATTGGGGGCGGCGGACGATGGTAGCGAATAGCGGGCGATGGACGGCAGCATCGAACGGTGGGCGGCGGTGGCAGATGGCGACGTGGCCAGTGCGGAGGACAGCAGCTGGAGGCGGTCGGCGTCAGGCAACGATGGGAGGCGTGCAATGGCCGATGGAGGGAGTAGGGTGGCGGCGGGGGAGGAGGGCAGACGGTGGTAGCGAAGGGCAACTGGCAGACGGTGGGGGGAGACGGCGGCAGACGGCGACGCAATCAGTGCGAAGGACGGTGACGGGAGGCGGCTGACGTCAGGCAGCGGCAGGAGGCGGGCGATGACCAACGACGGGAGGGGGGTGGTGGCAGGAGGCGGCCGGTCGACGGCAGGAGACAGTGGCTAGCGGACGGCGGACGGCGGGCTGCACCCCACAATGGGCTGCGGCGGGAGAAGGGCGGCCGGTGGACGGCGGTTGTCAGCGGGAGACGGCGGTCAGCAAGTGGGCGGCGATGGGCGATGGGTGGGCAACAAGCTAGTAGCAAAGGCAAGTAATGAGAAGAATTTCTCATTTTTATTCTAGAAATAGAAAAGTAGAAAATTTTTACTTATCATTTTTGTTCTAAACCTATCTCTGAAATCAAAATTTATTCCATAAATTTAAAAACGAAATTGCGTTACTAAACGAATTTCTATTCCAAACTTGTTTCTGGAATAGAAAAAGAGAAACATAATAGTTATCATTCGCAGCCTTAGCTTTTTCTTCGTTTCGAAATTATAATCAAGATCCGACCTGCTTGCAAAAAAATATCGTCATAATTCTAATGTGCCCTCCTAAGTTTTTCAAACTTTTTTCATGTGATGATAAGGTGCACGAGGAGTGGATCCAATCCAAGAGCGTCCCTAAAAGTGTCACTATACAGAATGGTCGATGCCAATCATGTTCACGCCCATCTTGTTTTTTTAATTCCGATGGGGGTCCCAACGTTATCTTACGTACCCAAAAGTGGATTTAAATGACATATCTGAATTTTTTTAATGCCGACGATCCAATAAAGTCACGAAGCCTAATCTAATTTTGTCCTCTTAATTGTCACGAGTTTTCTTTTTTATAATTAGATTTGATTCTCGTGTTAGTTC